GATGGCAGCGCAGTGCTGCCAGGCATGAGTTCCCTCATGCCTCGCAGCAGGACAGAGCACGACTGGGTGTTAACCCTTTCCAGAAGCAGCATGCTGTGCCTTGCTGGGATTGGCAAATAAAGGGGGCTGCACTCCCCTGGCGGTTGGTTTAACGGTTGCAAAAGCCCCTTCTATCTCCAGAGCAGGACACAAAGGTGGGAGTGCTGCCCAGGAGCCTGAAGGCCTGCCCTGCGACCCACCTGCTGTCTGTTAGGGAGGATCTGATCTGCTACAGGGCTGGGAGAAGCCGGGCAGAACAGGCACCTTTTCCAACCGTAGCCAAAGGGAACCAGGGTTCCCCATCAACCTGGTAACATCTGAGCTGGTTTCCCAAATAATGCTGAGCTTGGCAGAGGCCTGCCTGCTTGCTTCGCTCGCTTTGGGCTGCAAAACAGATTTTTAAGGTGCTAAAATCCAGGTCCTTACATGTTAAATCTGTCCTTCGCTGACGCAGACCTCTGGCTGTGCCTGGAGTCTGTAGCCTTCAGGCACACCCCTCTTGTCCCCGGCTTCCACAGCACTCAGGACATCCCCAGGTGAGCAAGGCTGTCAGCCCGTGCTGGGGACAAGGAGGTGTCCGTGTGTCCTGGGGCACAGGCAGCAATGAGCAAACATATCATTAGGGGCCACGTGCAATCTGTTTCCTGCCTTCAGCAGTGCTGTTGCCTCCCTCGAGCTGGTGCCGCAGGGGAAAGGAGAAGCTGGGGATGGCAGACCCAGCAGGCAAGGAGGGGGAAGTGACACTGCAAACTGCACAACACAGGTCTTGGTGCAGTAGTGTGACTGAGGGTGCCTTCCTGGGGCGACGTGGGAGCCTGAAAGCAAGTAACGGGCAGCTGAGCTCTGCTCTTCCTGCTCTCCAGGCCTATGGGATAAAAGGCAGAAGCAAATGGCTGCTGTCAACTGCTGTCCTGTGTCCAGACAGCCTGTGCCGGCAGGGCCCCAGGCTGTTGCTTTGGGGTGGGTGCTGACTGGCAAGGCGGTAGCTGAGCGCCCATGCCGCCAGAGCCAGGACGATGCTGTTCCTTGTGCAGGGTTGTGCATTGGAAACGCAGGCCTGTGGCTTCCTCCTGTGCTGTTACTCCCGTCACTTTTAAATTCCTGTGTTTGTTAGCAGCAACACACCACTGTGTATTTACCAGGTGAGACTCGGCCGAGCTGTGCCCCAGGCGGCCGCCTTTCTGCACAGTCATCCCTGCTTTGGCCCTGAGCTGGCTCCAGGCTGCTCGGGCTGCGGGAGGCAGTGGCTTTTTAAAACATACCCACTAAGGTGCTGACCCTGCTGAGGCAACAGAAGGATAAACTGCCATCCTGTTAATACCTCCTTGAGGGCGTTGTCCCCACCTTTCCCCTGCGCAGGG